CATCCTGTGGGTAACAGCGGGTAAGATTAAGAGAGGCACACAATTAGCTCAGTAAATTTACCCCTAAATTCAGCTATTTACAGTCCCCACAAGTTATAGTTCCATAGTTTAATGTACAAAGACAGCGCTTTGTATTGTGTTTAAGAGTTATGAACCACGGGAGGGTCATTAAGGCCAACACAACACCTCACTGACCAACCAGAAAGTGTACTTGACCCGGGAACAGGTTATCTTGAGATCTTGAGATGATTTCGGGGCTTCTTAGTGTCCCCACGGCCCGGTCCTCGACCAGGCCTCCACCCCCAGGAAGCAGCCCGTGACAGCTGACTAACACCCAGGTACCTATTTTACTGCTAGGTAACAGGGGCATAGGGTGAAAGAAACTATGCCCATTGTTTCTCGCCGGCGCCCGGGATCGAACCCGGGACCACAGGATCACAAGCCCAGTGTGCTGTCCGCTCGGCCGACCGGCTCCCAGCAGCGGCCGACCGGCAGGTGTGTAAGACAACAGTACACTCTTGGTGTGTATACACTGGCAGAGGCCAGGCTCTGGGGACATGTTCCAGGCTTCGCAAATATCACCAGAAATGAGTTGTCGCCGTCGGGTGGAGGAGCGGAGGGTTGGTGGGGACCCGTACCACAATGATGGGTCCCAACCACATACATCAACCACCACAATGATGGGTCCCAACCACACACATCAACCACCACAATGATGGGTCCCAACCACACACATCAACCACCACAATGATGGCTCCCAACCACACACATCACCCACCACAATGATGGCTCCCAACCACATACATCACCCACCACAATGATGGGTCCCAACCACACACATCACCCACCACAATGATGGCTCCCAACCACACACAACACCCACCACAATGATGGGTCCCAACCACACACAACACCCACCACAATGATGGCTCCCAACCACACACATCACCCACCACAATGATGGCTCCCAACCACATACATCACCCACCACAATGATGGGTCCCAACCACACACAACACCCACCACAATGATGGGTCCCAACCACACACATCACCCACCACAATGATGGGTCCCAACCACACACATCACCCACCACAATGATGGGTCCCAACCACACACATCAACCACCACAATGATGGCTCCCAACCACACACATCAACCACCACAATGATGGGTCCCAACCACACACATCAACCACCACAATGATGGGTCCCAACCACACACATCACCCACCACAATGATGGCTCCCAACCACACACAACACCCACCACAATGATGGGTCCCAACCACACACAACACCCACCACAATGATGGCTCCCAACCACACACATCACCCACCACAATGATGGCTCCCAACCACATACATCACCCACCACAATGATGGGTCCCAACCACACACAACACCCACCACAATGATGGGTCCCAACCACACACATCACCCACCACAATGATGGGTCCCAACCACACACATCACCCACTACAATGATGGGTCCCAACCACACACATCAACCACCACAATGATGGCTCCCAACCACACACATCAACCACCACAATGATGGGTCCCAACCACACACATCAACCACCACAATGATGGGTCCCAACCACACACATCACCCACCACAATGATGGGTCCCAACCACACACATCACCCACCACAATGATGGGTCCCAACCACACACATCAACCACCACAATGATGGCTCCCAACCACACACATCACCCACCACAATGATGGGTCCCAACCACACACATCAACCACCACAATGATGGCTCCCAACCACACACATCAACCACCACAATGATGGCTCCCAACCACACACAACCACAGCACCACAACACCACAGCACCACAACACCACAGCACCACAACACAACACCACAACACCACAACACCACAACACCACAGCACCACAACACCACAGCACCACAACACCACAACACCACAGCACCACAACACCACAGCACCACAACACCACAACACCACAACACCACAACACCACAGCACCACAACACCACAGCACCACAACACCACAACACCACAACACCACAACACCACAGCACCACAACACCACAGCACCACAACACCACAACACCACAACACCACAACACCACAGCACCACAACACCACAACACCACAGCACCACAACACCACAACACCACAACACCACAGCACCACAACAACTCAACACCACAGCACCACAACACCACAACACCACAACACCACAACACCACAGCACCACAACACCACAGCACCACAACACCACAACACCACAGCACCACAACACCACAGCACCACAACACCACAACACCACAACACCACAACACCACAGCACCACAACACCACAGCACCACAACACCACAACACCACAACACCACAACACCACAGCACCACAACACCACAGCACCACAACACCACAACACCACAACACCACAACACCACAGCACCACAACACCACAACACCACAGCACCACAACACCACAACACCACAACACCACAACACCACAGCACCACAACACAGCACCACAACACCACAGCACCACAACACCACAACACCACAACACCACAGCACCACAACACCACAACACCACAGCACCACAACACAGCACCACAACACCACAGCACCACAACACCACAACACCACAACACCACAACACCACAGCGCCACCATACCACAACACCACAACACCACAACACCACAACACCACAGCACCACAACACCACAACACCACAGCGCCACCATACCACAACACCACAACACCACAACACCACAACACCACAGCACCACAACACCACAGCACCACAACACAGCACCACAGCACCACACCACTACAACACAGCACCACAACACCACAGCACTACTACAACACAACACACCACTACAACACAGCACTACTACAACACAACACCACAGCACCACAGTCCTCCCAAACGTCCAGGATCAATTATGAAAAGTCACGTTTACTTCATGACGTGAGAATTATCGGGCTATAATTTCCGTTGTGAAGGCCCTGTCGCCTGGGCTTAGGTTCCTCCTGCCCCCCCCCCCCGCCCAGGCCAACACCTGACCTGCGGCAGGACACAACCCCCACAACAGTCGCCTAACTACCGGCTACCTGTTATAACTGCCAGGGTGAACACACACATATCAGGTGACAAGAAACGTTCTCAACCGTTTTTGTTCTGCCAGGAGATTGAATCTGGGCTGATCGATTGTGACCCAAAGACGTTGCCCACTGCGCTACAGGGCATGAAATAGTCGGTTTCTTCCGGAACCTAGTGCTCCCTCCCCCCGCCACACCCCAGGCAAGGTATACATACCCTTACTGCTGCTGAGGTAAACTGGGCACTAACTACAGTACCTCATTACCGGAAGCTACTCTCCAGAGATTTCCTGGGATAATATTAACCCCTAAACGGCGCACTTATTTAAAAATGACGCACCGGATCGTATGTCTAGAAATATTTGACAGATTAATAAAGAGGAATAAAATTGCATATGACGATTGGAGCACAGGTGGAAATTCTAGCCAGCACTTGGCGCACTGTGAGGGTTAAGAAGCCTAGCCTCGCCTGTCCTTATGGGTGACAATAAGAATGTATTCCAAGCGCGCATACACCAACACCCATGGGACTCGGGAGGCGGTTACTTTACCTTGCGATTGATTTCGGGGCTCAACGTCCCAGCGGCCCGGTCCTCGACCAGGCCAAGGAGGGCATTATACAGCCTACACAATGGCTGTATAATGGGCATTATACCTCTTCCTACCCAGGACATTACTGCCCCACTTCAAACTCGAATCCAACTTGCTGACAAATGTCTTAAAAAGTACTTCGCCGAGTCGTACGTATCTAGGACATTTTTCCCTCTGGACAAAACCCTCCCCTGGACAATTCCCTCCCCCTGGACAAAATTTCCGTCATAGACATTTCCCTGGACACTACTGGAGCCTCTGCTGGACACTACTGGAGCCTCTGCTGGACACTACTGGAGCCTCTGCTGGACACTACTGGAGCCTCTGGACACTACTGGAGCCTCTGGACACTACTGGAGCCTCTGCTGGACACTACTGGAGCCTCTGGGACACTACTGGAGCCTCTGGACACTACTGGAGCCTCTGCTGGACACTACTGGAGCCTCTGCTGGACACTACTGGAGCCTCTGGGACACTACTGGAGCCTCTGGACACTACTGGAGCACCTGCTGGAGCCTCTGGAGCACTACTGAGCCTCTGGACACTACTGGAGCCTCTGGACACAACTGGAGCACCTGCTGGACACAACTGGAGCACCTGCTGGACACTACTGGAGCACCTGCTGGACACAACTGGAGCACCTGCTGGACACTACTGGAGCACCTGCTGGACACTACTGGAGCACCTGCTGGACACTACTGGAGCCTCTGGACACTACTGGAGCCTCTGCTGGACACTACTGGAGCCTCTGGGACACTACTGGAGCCTCTGGACACTACTGGAGCCTCTGCTGGACACTACTGGAGCCTCTGCTGGACACTACTGGAGCACTACTGGAGCCTCTGGACACTACTGGAGCACCTGCTGGACACTGGACACTACTGGAGCCTCTGGGACACTACTGGAGCCTCTGGGACACTACTGGAGCCTCTGGGACACTACTGGAGCCTCTGGGACACTACTGGAGCCTCTGCTGGACACAACTGGAGCACCTGCTGGACACTACTGGAGCACCTGCTGGACACTACTGGAGCCTCTGGACACTACTGGAGCACCTGCTGGACACTACTGGAGCACCTGCTGGACACTACTGGAGCACCTGCTGGACACTACTGGAGCACCTGCTGGACACTACTGGAGCACCTGCTGGACACTACTGGAGCACCTGCTGGACACAACTGGAGCACCTGCTGGACACTACTGGAGCCTCTGGACACTACTGGAGCCTCTGGACACTACTGGAGCCTCTGACACTACTGGGACACTACTGGAGCACCTGCTGGACACTACTGGAGCCTCTGGACACTACTGGAGCGCTTGTTCCTCCTGTAGATGAGCTCCTCCCTGAAGTACTCGTCGATGTGGGTGGCGGTGGCGGCCTCCATCGGCGGCAGGGAGGCGTTGCCCAGGTGAGGTACCTGCTGGACGGTGACACGTGAGCTGTGCTGCACCCTCTACTGCCTCTACACCTCCCTCTACACCTCCCTCTACTGCCTCTACACCTCCCTCTACACCTCACTCTACTGCCTCCACCACGCCCGCCATAGCAGCCATTACTTAACAACACCCGTCACTGTTTACACAACTGCTAATACAACACCTGCAACAACATTAGGCAGTATGTAGAGCCTGGGTGTGGGTAGAGGCAGGCGGGGGTGTGGGGAGAGGCAGGCGGGGGTGTGGGGAGAGACAGGCAGGGTTGTGGGGAGAGGGAGGCAGGGGTGTGGGGAGAGGCAGGCGGGGGTGTGGGGAGAGGCAGGCGGGGGTGTGGGGAGAGACAGGCGGGGGTGTGGGGAGAGGCAGGCGGGGGTGTGGGGAGAGGCAGGCGGGGGTGTGGGGAGAGGCAGGCGGGGGTGTGGGGAGAGACAGACATGGGAGTGGGGAGAGGCAGGCGGGGGTGTGGGGAGAGGCAGTCGGGGGTGTGGGGAGAGGCAGGCGGGGGTGTGGGGAGAGGCAGGCGGGGGTGTGGGGAGAGACAGGCAGGGGTGTGGGGAGAGGCAGGCGGGGGTGTGGGGAGAGGCAGGCGGGGGTGTGGGGAGAGGCAGGCGGGGGTGTGGGGAGAGGCAGGCGGGGGTGTGGGGAGAGACAGGCAGGGGTGTGGGGAGAGGCAGGCGGGGGTGTGGGGAGAGACAGTCGGGGGTGTGGGGAGAGGCAGGCGGGGGTGTGGGGAGAGGCAGGCGGGGGTGTGGGGAGAGACAGGCGGGGGTGTGGGGAGAGGCAGGCGGGGGTGTGGGGAGAGACAGGCAGGGGTGTGGGGAGAGGCAGGCAGGGGTGTGGGGAGAGGCAGGCAGGGGTGTGGGGAGAGGCAGGCAGGGGTGTGGGGAGAGACAGACAGGGGTGTGGGGAGAGGTAGGCAGGGGTGTGGGGAGAGACAGGCAGGGGTGTGGGGAGAGACAGGCGGGGGTGTGGGGAGAGGCAGGTGGGGGTGTGGGGAGAGACAAGCAGGGGTGTGGGGAGAGGCAGGTAGGGGTGTTGGGAGAGACAGGCAGGGGTGTGGGGAGAGGCAGGCTGGGGTGTGGGGAGAGACAGGCAGGGGTGTGGGGAGAGACAGTCGGGGGTGTGGGGAGAGGCAGGCGGGGGTGTGGGGAGAGGCAGGCGGGGGTGTGGGGAGAGGCAGGCGGGGGTGTGGGGAGAGGCAGGCGGGGGTGTGGGGAGAGGCAGGCGGGGGTGTGGGGAGAGGCAGGCGGGGGTGTGGGGAGAGGCAGGCGGGGGTGTGGGGAGAGACAGTCGGGGGTGTGGGGAGAGACAGTCGGGGGTGTGGGGAGAGGCAGGCGGGGTGTGGGGAGAGGCAGGCGGGGGTGTGGGGAGAGACAGGCAGGGGTGTGGGGAGAGACAGTCGGGGGTGTGGGGAGAGGCAGGCGGGGGTGTGGGGAGAGGCAGGCGGGGGTGTGGGGAGAGACAGTCGGGGGTGTGGGGAGAGGCAGGCGGGGGTGTGGGGAGAGACAGACAGGGGTGTGGGGAGAGGCAGGCGGGGGTGTGGGGAGAGGCAGGCGGGGGTGTGGGGAGAGGCAGGCGGGGGTGTGGGGAGAGGCAGGCGGGGGTGTGGGGAGAGACAGACATGGGTGTGGGGAGAGGCAGGCGGGGGTGTGGGGAGAGACAGACAGGGGTGTGGGGAGAGGCAGGCGGGGGTGTGGGGAGAGGCAGGCGGGGGTGTGGGGAGAGGCAGGCGGGGGTGTGGGGAGAGACAGACATGGGTGTGGGGAGAGGCAGGCGGGGGTGTGGGGAGAGGCAGGCGGGGGTGTGGGGAGAGACAGGCGGGGGTGTGGGGAGAGGCAGGCGGGGGTGTGGGGAGAGACAGGCAGGGGTGTGGGGAGAGACAGTCGGGGGTGTGGGGAGAGGCAGGCGGGGGTGTGGGGAGAGACAGGCAGGGGTGTGGGGAGAGGCAGGCGGGGGTGTGGGGAGAGACAGGCAGGGGTGTGGGGAGAGACAGTCGGGGGTGTGGGGAGAGGCAGGCGGGGGTGTGGGGAGAGGCAGGCGGGGGTGTGGGGAGAGGCAGGCGGGGGTGTGGGGAGAGGCAGGCGGGGGTGTGGGGAGAGGCAGGCGGGGGTGTGGGGAGAGACAGTCGGGGGTGTGGGGAGAGACAGTCGGGGGTGTGGGGAGAGGCAGGCGGGGGTGTGGGGAGAGGCAGGCGGGGGTGTGGGGAGAGACAGGCAGGGGTGTGGGGAGAGGCAGGCGGGGGTGTGGGGAGAGACAGGCAGGGGTGTGGGGAGAGACAGTCGGGGGTGTGGGGAGAGGCAGGCGGGGGTGTGGGGAGAGGCAGGCGGGGGTGTGGGGAGAGACAGTCGGGGGTGTGGGGAGAGGCAGGCGGGGGTGTGGGAAGAGACAGACAGGGGTGTGGGGAGAGGCAGGCGGGGGTGTGGGGAGAGGCAGGCGGGGGTGTGGGGAGAGGCAGGCGGGGGGGTGGGGAGAGACAGTCGGGGGTGTGGGGAGAGGCAGGCGGGGGTGTGGGGAGAGGCAGGCGGGGGTGTGGGGAGAGACAGTCGGGGGTGTGGGGAGAGGCAGGCGGGGGTGTGGGGAGAGACAGACAGGGGTGTGGGGAGAGGCAGGCGGGGGTGTGGGGAGAGGCAGGCGGGGGTGTGGGGAGAGGCAGGCGGGGGTGTGGGGAGAGGCAGGCGGGGGTGTGGGGAGAGACAGACATGGGTGTGGGGAGAGGCAGGCGGGGGTGTGGGGAGAGACAGACAGGGGTGTGGGGAGAGGCAGGCGGGGGTGTGGGGAGAGGCAGGCGGGGGTGTGGGGAGAGGCAGGCGGGGGTGTGGGGAGAGACAGACATGGGTGTGGGGAGAGGCAGGCGGGGGTGTGGGGAGAGGCAGGCGGGGGTGTGGGGAGAGACAGGCGGGGGTGTGGGGAGAGGCAGGCGGGGGTGTGAGACAGAGAGACAGGCAGGGGTGTGGGGAGAGACAGTCGGGGGTGTGGGGAGAGGCAGGCGGGGGTGTGGGGAGAGACAGGCAGGGGTGTGGGGAGAGGCAGGCGGGGGTGTGGGGAGAGACAGGCAGGGGTGTGGGGAGAGACAGTCGGGGGTGTGGGGAGAGGCAGGCGGGGGTGTGGGGAGAGGCAGGCGGGGGTGTGGGGAGAGGCAGGCGGGGGTGTGGGGAGAGGCAGGCGGGGGTGTGGGGAGAGGCAGGCGGGGGTGTGGGGAGAGACAGTCGGGGGTGTGGGGAGAGACAGTCGGGGGTGTGGGGAGAGGCAGGCGGGGGTGTGGGGAGAGGCAGGCGGGGGTGTGGGGAGAGACAGGCAGGGGTGTGGGGAGAGGCAGGCGGGGGTGTGGGGAGAGACAGGCAGGGGGTGTGGGGAGAGACAGTCGGGGGTGTGGGGAGAGGCAGGCGGGGGTGTGGGGAGAGGCAGGCGGGGGTGTGGGGAGAGACAGTCGGGGGTGTGGGGAGAGGCAGGCGGGGGTGTGGGAAGAGACAGACAGGGGTGTGGGGAGAGGCAGGCGGGGGTGTGGGGAGAGGCAGGCGGGGGTGTGGGGAGAGGCAGGCGGGGGTGTGGGGAGAGACAGACATGGGTGTGGGGAGAGGCAGGCGGGGGTGTGGGGAGAGACAGACAGGGGTGTGGGGAGAGGCAGGCGGGGGTGTGGGGAGAGGCAGGCGGGGGTGTGGGGAGAGGCAGGCGGGGGTGTGGGGAGAGACAGACATGGGTGTGGGGAGAGGCAGGCGTGGGGTGTGGGGAGAGGCAGGCGGGGGTGTGGGGAGAGACAGGCGGGGGTGTGGGGAGAGGCAGGCGGGGGTGTGGGGAGAGGCAGGCGGGGGTGTGGGGAGAGGCAGGCGGGGGTGTGGGGAGAGACAGACAGGGGTGTGGGGAGAGGCAGGCGGGGGTGTGGGGAGAGACAGACATGGGAGTGGGGAGAGGCAGGCGGGGGTGTGGGGAGAGGCAGTCGGGGGTGTGGGGAGAGGCAGGCGGGGGTGTGGGGAGAGACAGACATGGGTGTGGGGAGAGGCAGGCGGGGGTGTGGGGAGAGGCAGGCGGGGGTGTGGGGAGAGGCAGGCGGGGGTGTGGGGAGAGACAGACAGGGGTGTGGGGAGAGGCAGGCGGGGGTGTGGGGAGAGGCAGGCGGGGGTGTGGGGAGAGGCAGGCGGGGGTGTGGGGAGAGACAGACATGGGTGTGGGGAGAGGCAGGCGGGGGTGTGGGGAGAGACAGGCGGGGGTGTGGGGAGAGGCAGGCGGGGGTGTGGGGAGAGGCAGGCGGGGGTGTGGGGAGAGACAGTCGGGGGTGTGGGGAGAGACAGTCGGGGGTGTGGGGAGAGGCAGGCGGGGGTGTGGGGAGAGGCAGGCGGGGGTGTGGGGAGAGACAGGCAGGGGTGTGGGGAGAGACAGTCGGGGGTGTGGGGAGAGGCAGGCGGGGGTGTGGGGAGAGGCAGGCGGGGGTGTGGGGAGAGGCAGGCGGGGGTGTGGGGAGAGACAGACAGGGGTGTGGGGAGAGGCAGGCGGGGGTGTACGGGGACAATGAGAATAACGAGGCCAGTTGTAATCGACCATTTTAAGCCCGCGCGCCAAAATCGCCTAATCATGAATGGAAAATTTTTTCTTCCGCGCCAACCGAAATTTTTTGGGAATATATTATTTCGTGTCTTTTAATTATTGGGAGAACCCTTTCAAAACATAAAATCACATTAGAGCGGCAAAATCAAACAATATTGTATGAGTAACTATTCATTTAAAGTTCGTTCTGCTTTATAGATAGCATGGATATTTTTTTTACAAGTCTTTAAGTGAAATTCCCGCTGACATATACACCCACAATTTAAATTAACACTTTTAAAATCAGCTACAGAATAAACAATTATGGATGTGTTGCTTTTGGTTTTTTATATTAGAACAATCATCCATAAGTTTTATCAAGTGTTCCCATTACAATGCCCAATATCACAATCCTTTTACTGGGCACAATATAAGAAAACTTTATTTTATTAATTCTTAATCTCTCAGGAGTTATACCTAAAAGGTACACACCAAAAATCAATACAACTTATAAGCCTACCTAACATGATGGTGAAGTCTGCCTACCATGATGGTGAAGTCTGCCTACCATGATGGTGAAGTCTGCCTACCATGACGGTGAAGCCTACCTACCATGATGGTGAAGCCTACCTAACATGATGGTGAAGTCTGCCTACCATGATGGTGAAGCCTACCTACCATAATGGTGAAGCCTACCTACCATAATGGTGAAGCCTACCTACCATAATGGTAAAGTCTACCTACCAAGACGGTGAAGTCTGCCTACCATGATAGTGAAGCCTGCCTACCATGATAGTGAAGCCTGCCTACCATGATGGTGAAGCCTGCCTACCATGATGGTGAAGCCTGCCTACCATGATGGTGGTCTGCCTACGATGATGGTGAAGCCTACCTACCATGATGGTGAAGCCTACCTACCATGATGGTGAAGCCTACCTACCATGATGGTGAAGCCTACCTACCATGATAGTGAAGCCTACCTACCATGATGGTGAAGCCTGCCTATCATGATGGTGAAGCCTGCCTACCATGATGGTGAAGCCTGCCTACCATGATGGTGAAGCCTACCTATCATGATGGTGAAGCCTGCCTACCATGATGGTGAAGCCTACCTACCATGATAGTGAAGCCTACCTACCATGATGGTGAAGCCTACCTACCATGATAGTGAAGCCTGCCTACCATGATGGTGAAGCCTACCTACCATGATGGTGAAGCCTGCCTACCATGACGGTGAAGCCTACCTACCATGATGATGAAGCCTGCCTACCATGATGGTGAAGCCTGCCTACCATGACGGTGAAGCCTACCTACCATGATGGTGAAGCCTACCTATCATGATGGTGAAGCCTACCTATCATGATGGTGAAGCCTGCCTACCATGATGGTGAAGCCTGCCTACCATGATGGTGAAGCCTGCCTACCATGATGGTGAAGCCTGCCTACCATGATGTTGAAGCCTACCTATCATGATGGTGAAGCCTGCCTACCATGATGGTGAAGCCTGCCTACCATGATAGTGAAGCCTGCCTACCATGATGGTGATGCCTACCTATCATGATGGTGAAGCCTACCTACCATGATGGTGAAGCCTGCCTACCATGATGGTGAAGCCTACCTACCATGATAGTGAAGCCTACCTACCATGATGGTGAAGCCTACCTACCATGATAGTGAAGCCTGCCTACCATGATGGTGAAGCCTACCTACCATGATGGCGAAGCCTGCCTACCATGATGGTGAAGCCTACCATGATAGTGAAGCCTGCCTACCATGATGGTGAAGCCTACCTACCATGATAGTGAAGCCTACCTACCATGGCGGTGAAGCCTGCCTACCATGGCGGTGAAGCCTGCCTACCATGGCGGTGAAGCCTGCCTACCATGATGGTGAAGCCTACCTACCATGATAGTGAAGCCTACCTACCATGGTGAAGCGTAGCTACCATGATGGTGAAGCCTACCTACCATGGTGAAGCGTAGCTACCATGATGGTTAAGCCTGCCTACCATGATGGTGAAGCCTGCCTACCATGGTGAAGCCTACCTACCATGATAGTGAAGCCTACCTACCATGGTGAAGCGTAGCTACCATGATGGTGAAGCCTACCTACCATGATGAAGCCTACCTACCATGATGGTGAAGCCTACCTACCATGATGGTGAAGCCTGCCTACCATGATGGTGAAGCCTGCCTACCATGGTGAAGCGTAGCTACCATGATGGTTAAGCCTGCCTACCATGATGGTGAAGCCTGCCTACCATGGTGAAGCCTACCTACCATGATAGTGAAGCCTACCTACCATGGTGAAGCGTAGCTACCATGATGGTGAAGCCTACCTACCATGATGAAGCCTACCTACCATGATGGTGAAGCCTACCTACCATGATGGTGAAGCCTGCCTACCATGATGGTGAAGCCTGCCTACCATGGTGAAGCCTACCTACCATGATAGTGAAGCCTACCTACCATGGTGAAGCGTAGCTACCATGATGGTGAAGCCTACCTACCATGATAGTGAAGCCTACCTACCATGGTGAAGCGTAGCTACCATGATGGTGAAGCCTGCCTACCATGATGGTGAAGCCTACCTACCATGATGGTGAAGCCTACCTACCATGATAGTGAAGCCTACCTACCATGGTGAAGCGTAGCTACCATGATGGTGAAGCCTACCTACCATGATGGTGAAGCGTACCTACCATGATAGTGAAGCCTACCTACCATGATGGTGAAGCCTACCTACCATGATGGTGAAGCCTACATACCATGATGGTGAAGCCTACCTACCATGATAGTGAAGGAGTCGGGCGACGTCTGAGACACAGGGCTTCGAATCACCTTGTTTGTTGCCGGTTCTTCTTGCTTATTATTACCCAATCAGTTATCAGTGTTTGTTAACTGCCCCTTTTTTGTGTCGCTCTGTACAATACATTTGCATTTTGTCGAGCAGAAAATATACAACTCAGCGAGTTTATTGGGTATTTATTTAATTTTAGGGCGCATATACCAGCAGCCCCATCACCCTAGTATAAGGCAGCAGCGTGGTATAAGGAGTATACCAGCCTAGTATAAGGCAGCAGCGTGGCATAAGAAGTATACCAGCCTAGTATAAGGCAGCAGCGTGGTATAAGGAGTATACCAGCCTAGTATAAGGCAGCAGCGTGGCATAAGAAGTATACCAGCCTAGTATAAGGCAGCAGCGTGGCATAAGAAGTATACCAGCCTAGTATAAGGCAGCAGCGTGGTATAAGGAGTATACCAGCCTAGTATAAGGCAGCAGCGTGGTATAAGAAGTATACCAGCCTAGTATAAGGCAGCAGTGTGGTATAAGGAGTATACCAGCCTAGTACAAGGCAGCAGTGTGGTATAAGGAGTATACCAGCCTAGTATAAGGCAGCAGCGTGTTATAAGGAGTATACCAGCCTAGTATAAGGCAGCAGCGTTGTATAAGGAGTATACCAGCCTAGTATAAGGCAGCAGCGTGGTATAAGAAGTATACCAGCCTAGTATAAGGCAGCAGCGTGGTATAAGGAGTATACCAGCCTAGTATAAGGCAGCAGCGTGGTATAAGAAGTATACCAGCCTAGTATAAGGCAGCAGCGTGGTATAAGGAGTATACCAGCCTAGTATAAGGCAGCAGCGTGGTATAAGGAGTATACCAGCCTAGTATAAGGCAGCAGCGTGGTATAAGGAGTATACCAGCCTAGTATAAGGCAGCAGCGTGGTATAAGGAGTATACCAGCCTAATATAAGGCAGCAGCGTGGTATAAGGAGTATACCAGCCTAGTATAAGGCAGCAGCGTGGTATAAGAAGTATACCAGCCTAGTATAAGGCAGCAGCGTGGTATAAGGAGTATACCAGCCTAGTATAAGGCAGCAGCGTGGTATAAGGAGTATACCAGCCTAGTATACGGCAGCAGTGTGGTATAAGGAGTATACCTGCGTGGTGTCCTGGGAGAAGATGACGGCGTCCAGGTCACCACAGTTGTAGTGGGTGATGAGGTGGTCGGTGGTGTAGGCCAGGTGACTGTCCCCAGCACGCAGGATCTCTTGCTGCGACAGTGTGTGGTTGAGCGCGAACACCACCTGGAACACAAGGCATCTAGTTACCTCTGGCAACAAGTTACGTCTGGCAACAAGTTACGTCTGGCAACAAGTTACGTCTTGCAACAAGGCAACAAGTTACGTCTTGCAACAAGTTATGTCTTGCAACAAGGCAACAAGTTATCTCTTGCAACAAGGCAACAAGTTATGCCTTGCAACACGGCAACAAGTTACGTCTTGCAACACGGCAACAAGTTATGTCTTGCAACAAGGCAACAAGTTACGTCTTGCAACAAGGCAACAAGTTATCTCTTGCAACAAGGCAACAAGTTACGTCTTGCAACAAGGCAACAAGTTATCTCTTGCAACAAGGCAACAAGTTATGTCTTGCAACACGGCAACAAGTTATCTCTTGCAACAAGTTATGTCTTGCAACAAGGCAACAAGGCAACAAGTTATCTCTTGCAACAAGGCAACAAGTTACGTCTTGCAACACGGCAACAAGTTACGTCTTGCAACAAGGCAACAAGTTATGTCTTGCAACACGGCAACAAGTTATGTCTTGCAACACGGCAACAAGTTATCTCTTGCAACAAGTTATGTCTTGCAACAAGGCAACAAGTTATCTCTTGCAACAAGTTATGTCTTGCAACAAGGCAACAAGTTATCTCTTGCAACAAGGCAACAAGTTACGTCTTGCAACAAGGCAACAAGTTACGTCTTGCAACAAGGCAACAAGTTATGTCTTGCAACAAGGCAACAAGTTATCTCTTGCAACAAGGCAACAAGTTATGTCTTGCAACAAGGCAACAAGTTATCTCTTGCAACAAGGCAACAAGTTATGTCTTGCAACACGGCAACAAGTTATGTCTTGCAACACGGCAACAAGTTATGTCTTGCAACACGGCAACAAGTTATCTCTTGCAACAAGTTATGTCTTGCAACAAGGCAACAAGTTATCTCTTGCAACAAGTTATGTCTTGCAACACGGCAACAAGTTATGTCTTGCAACAAGGCAACAAGTTATGTCTTGCAACACGGCAACAAGTTATGTCTTGCAACAAGGCAACAAGTTACGTCTTGCAACAAGGCAACAAGTTATGTCTTGCAACACGGCAACAAGTTATGTCTTGCAACACGGCAACAAGTTATCTCTTGCAACAAGTTATGTCTTGCAACAAGGCAACAAGTTATCTCTTGCAACAAGTTATGTCTTGCAACAAGGCAACAAGTTACGTCTTGCAACAAGGCAACAAGTCACGTCTTGCAACAAGGCAACAAGTCACGTCTTGCAACAAGGCAACAAGTTATCTCTTGCAACAAGTTATGTCTTGCAACAAGGCAACAAGTTACGTCTTGCAACAATGCAACAAGTCACGTCTTGCAACAAGGCAACAAGTAACGTCTTGCAACAAGGCAACAAGTTATCTCTTGCAACAAGTTATGTCTTGCAACAAGGCAACAAATTACGTCTTGCAACAAGGCAACAAGTTATGTCTTGCAACAAGGCAACAAGTTACGTCTTGCAACAAGGCAACAAGTTATGTCTTGCAACAAGGCAACAAGTTACGTCTTGCAACAAGGCAACAAGTTACGTCTTGCAACAAGGCAACTAGTTACGTCTTGCAACAAGGCAACTAGTTACGTCTTACAACAAGGCAACTAGTTACGTCTTGTAACAAGGCAACTAGTTACGTCTTGCAACAAGGCAACAAGTTACGTCTTGCAACAAGGCAACTAGTTACGTATTGCAACAAGGCAACAAGTTACGTCTTGCAACAAGGCAACTAGTTACGTCTTGCAACAAGGCAACTAGTTACGTCTTGCAACAATGCAACAAGTTACGTCTTACAACAAGGCAACAAGTTACGTCTTGCAACAAGGCAACAAGTTACGTCTTGCAACAAGGCAACTAGTTACGTCTTGCAACAAGGCAACTAGTTACGTCTTGCAACAAGGCAACAAGTCACGTCTTGCAACAAGATAACAAGTCACGTCTTGCAACAAGGCAACAAGTTACGTCTTGCAACAAGGCAACAAGTTACGTCTTGCAACAAGGCAGCAAGTCACGTCTTGCAACAAGGTAACAAGTTACGTCTTGCAACAAGGCAACAAGTTACGTCTTGCAACAAGGCAACAAGTTATGTCTTGCAACAAGGTAACAAGTTACGTCTTGCAACAAGGCAACAAGTTACGTCTTGGAACAAGGCAACAAGTTACGTCTTGTAACAAGGCATCTAGTTACGTCTTGCAACAAGGCAACTAGTTACGTCTTGCAACAAGGCAACTAGTTACGTCTTGCAACAAGGCAACAAGTTACGTCTTGCAACAAGGCAACAAGTTACGTCTTGCAACAAGTTACGTCTTGCAACAAGTTACGTCTTGCAACAAGTTACGTCTTGCAACAAGTTACGTCTTGCAACAAGTTACGTCTTGCAACATAACAAGGAAACAGGTTACATCACGCAGACAGGTTTATAATACCACAAATCATCAAAGCAAACACTACCCAGGGCAGTTCATGTAATTAGGGGCTTTATAAAGATTATGATTTAGAAACATAAGAACATAGGTAACGGCAGAAGGCCTATTGGCCCATACGAGGCAGCTCCTGTTTATAACCACCCAATCCCACTCATATACTTGTCCAACCCACGTTTGAAACAATCGAGGGACCCCACCTAAACCACGTTACGCGGTAATTGGTTCCACAATTCAACAACCCTGTTACCGAACCAGTATTTACCCAAGTCCTTCCTAAAATTAAACTTATGCAATTGATACATAACATAAAAACATAAGATGCTCGATGGAGTGTGATTTTAAATCACACTCCATCAAGCATGATACAGTTGACATGTTTGTAAAAACAGCCTGAAGCAGTAAAAATGACTATCGGTGCTTTAATGTCAGTAATAAAGAGAATACTAAAGCAAGTGTCGTAATCTTTCTGACAACAAATTCGCAAAGACCTGAGCAGACACTACGCGTATATAATACAGCAAGAACTCGGCTGTGTAATACACCAGGTGTCAACTTCGCGGAAGAGAAAACAAACATTTCATTGAACATTATATAGTAGACTGTTCCATGCTGTTGTCTCCTTACATTTACCACCCCATTTTTGGAGGACGGGCTGAATAGTGGCTGACCTCCAACCCCCTGGGTCGAGTAATGCTGAACTCTGAATAATAATATTATCTGAATATTCAGCATATTTGCTATGCTGAATATTATCTGAATGCTGGAACACTTAATATTAATATTGGACATGTACCCAGGATTTACTTTGAAATGCAACTATTATGCAATATGAGAGATATGATTATAGTTTGAGTTTGTAAAAGCGCTTTAATCACTTCTGTGGTCGAGTGCTCAACACTCCACTAAACTATATGTAGTGGACGATATCTCCCATCCTGTCAGCAGATGACAAAACAATATATGTACTCTGTTGAGCATATATTCATGTGGTAGAAAAAAGTTGGCATTATCATATGTTCTGTGCTCACTATAAGTGAAATCCAATTGCAAGATCACCAAACATCAAACTCAACCTTGCAATATAAGAGGTCATTATAATGTTAGACTTTTGCAACATTGCAGACATCAAATTTTCCTTAGAGTATCAGCCAGCCTCAAAATAGATATGGCAACGTTCTAAGTCAGTATTAGGACATACCATGTAATAAGGCCTATAGCATCACATTAGACATTGCAACAACGCTTTCAACAATTGCAATAAATCAAGTAATCGTCTAGAAATGCCTAGATATTGTGATGTTATAATACAAACACTATGACCGAGGCAAAATTAACATAGCAAATTAAGATATCCAATTTTGTTTTAGTAAAATGCAAATAATTAATAAAACATCTTCAACAGAACAAATTGCAGTGACTGGTTAACCTTAATTAAACAGAGTTAAAACACTATATAAATTTAGAATCAAATTAAAAGTTAGAACCATCAACGCCATCAAATTAAAATAAAGAATGGGAGCAGCATCATTAATAATCAGGCATTTTAAGTTTGATCCTCGTAATTCATATTCAACATTCCGTCATTTTAAGTTTTATATGAATAATCAGGCATTAAACAAGGTACTAACAAGCCTAGAAAACAAGGTACTAGCAAGTATAGAAAACAAGGTACTAGCAAGTGTAGAAAATAAGGTACTAACAAGCCTAGAAAATAAGGTACTAGCAAGTATAGAAAACAAGGTACTAGCAAGTATAGAAAATAAGGTACTAACAAGCCTAGAAAATAAGGTACTAGCAAGTATAGAAAACAAGGTACTAGCAAGTATAGAAAATAAGGTACTAACATGCCTAGAAAATAAGGTACTAGCAAGTATAGAAAACAAGGTACTAGCAAGTATAGAAAACAAGGTACTAGCAAGTATAGAAAACAAGATACTAGCAAGTATAGAAAACAAGATATTATTAAGCATAGAAAACAAGATACTAGCCTAAAACCCACATTAACAAAACTAAAAAACGCCCCACAAAACCACTGCAGCAACAAAACCCAAGCAAGATTAGAATCAAGTTGCACCCAACAAATGCTGCTGGAGCTAAAAAGCGTGATGGAATTAGTGTCGCGTTGCGCGCGTGGCCGCCACGCTCGAGAAGCCTCGCCGCAAAATGACTCCAAATGAAGTAACAAGAGCACTGGACTAGCACCACAGTCCTCGGCGTGTTATAAGCCCCTGAGGCAGTGGTGGGGATATTTTACAGGCTATTCATATCTGATTAATCTTCATAAATCATCAATGATGGGGTATGTGACAATGTGCATGAGTACAAGTCGCATCCCACACAAGACGGATTCCCAACGGGTTTTAAACCCTAGCGAACCCAACGCAATCCAATACAGCCTAAATCTAATACTTCCTAACTTAACAATATATACGGTATTAATCAAGAGAAAATGAGCTTTACCGAACTGTCATTTGACGGGATTTTTATTAAACACTAATTAAACAGGTCTCAGGTTAACACAGGTCTCTCTTCGGACCTGCCTGAAACGCTACACGTAC